ACTGGATCATTGTATAACTGAAAGCCAAGCACAAAAATTTGTAAGTCTACAACTGTACCTCATGGTGTTTCACTAATAAAAATTTAAAAAAAAAAAGAAATTGAAATTCTCAAGTGGGAGAGAGGGTTGAAAGGGTCCAGTAGATCATGGTAGGGCAATATTGGCCACTTGATGGCGGACAAAATGTAGTAAGTCGCAAAATATCCTGGAAACATATACACATTTACACATTGGAAATCCATGTTACCTCAATAAAAAATAAATTTTGAAAAGCAACAACAAAAAGGAAACCAAAAACTCTTTGGTTTTATTAGAGTTGATTCTGTTTAGCAGCACAATGGATGAAAACAACTGTAAATTGCTGAAGTCTTTTTTTTTTTAATTACTCTTATCAATGGGGTTACAGATGTCGTAGCCAGGTCACCCTCACATCCTGGATGTGAGCAGTAGCACAGTGGGTAGGGTGTTTGCCTTGCACACGGCCGACCTGGGTTCGATTCCTCCATCCCTCTTGAAGAGCCTGGTAAGCTACCGAGAGTATTCCCCCCCCCCCCCCCCACAAATACACGGCAGAGCCTGGCAAGTTCCCCGTGGCATATTCGATATGCCAAAAACGGTAGCAGCAAGTCTCACAATAGAGACGTTACTGTTGCCCTCTCGAGCAAATCGATGAACAACAGGAGGATAGTGCTATAGTGCTACTCTTAACTATTTCAGATTTGCTCTGGGGAACACTGAAGATATGAAGAGACTTCCTTTCTCCCCATTTTCCCTGTGAACTAATCTTCCTTTTCTTTCTGAGTCATTTATCTTTTTTGTCTTCATGTCCTTGTGCATTTGAAGAAAGGAGAAATATTTGAGGCAGACTGAAAAGAAAAGGATGAGAAGCAGCAAAGGTCTTTCCAGCAAACATTTAATTATATTTCTACTTTATTCTTAGCTCTTCTATATTATTAGTTTATTTAATATTTTATAATTATTCTATGAAAAATTCACTGATTTTATAGACAGAGTAAGATTAGAGACCTTGGTAAATGTTGCAGCAGCTAAGATTTAAACTCAGGTATTCCTCACTGAGATACGGTTTTTGAGCCGCCTGAAAAGACATTAGAAATCTTGTTCAGTTTTCTTATCGTTAGGGGGTATTTTGTTCATATTTTTGGTTACGCCTGACAGTGCTCAGTGCTTATTTCTGACTTTGCATTTAAGGATCACTCCTGGTGGGAATTAGAGGCCATATTGGGCGCTAAGGATCAAAAGTGCCTTACTCACTGCACTATCTTTCTAGCCCCAGCCTTCTAATCTTTTATCTAAATAAATACTTAATCTATATGCTACTACTCATCAAAAATGTGTTACCTGCAGAGATTATGCTATGCATTAAATATACATTCTCTAATGTGCTCAGTCACTGTGTAAGACATAGAGATATTATAATAACTTGATTAGTAATTGATTATGCAAATGGTTCAGTCCAGGTGTCAACTTGAGATTGTCATACTCCAGAATGCATTACTCTATTTTATCATCTTGACTTTTTTATTATAATAAAAAATTTAAAGTGATGGAGATTAAGTTCCATTTCCAACATCATCAGCTCGTCGGTGGCAAAACAATTGACTCTGGACTCGAGATTTCTTGACTGGCAGTTCTTAAGCTCTTTCATTTGTTTCACAGTGGGAAATTACCTGATCAGAAATGGAATAAAATAAAAGCCAAACCAAACTGAAGTTGGTATGATTTGTGGGACCTGATTTTGCTGCATCTCAGTCTCTACATTCTCATGAGTTACTAGCAGGCTTATTCTGCTATGGGAAATCAGGTGTATAGTGTCTTTTTGAGTTGTAGCTATTAAAAAAATACACTTTTCCACAAATTATTTTATTTTTATATTAATAGACAGAATAAATCAGAAGAGGTGTTTCTGATAGCTCTCCATATAAATTGCTTTCAATTCTAATTACCATCAACTTTTCTTTGCATGAGATTATTTTTAAATGTTCTGTATTGTCAAGAGTAGTAACCTGTCAAGATGGTGAAAATAGTTCTTTTCTCAGAAATGCTGGAAGCTTCTCTCAGTTTAAGCAAGTTTCCAGTGTAGTGCATATAATAAATCACCTGTCTTCGTTTCAAAATCTTCAGCAACAGAATGGAAACTGTAGTACTTACCAAAGGATCAAGTACTGAAATAAAAATAATCTGCCCTTTTAACAGTCATAGGGTTTCCATAAATCAAAACTGTGTCTGAAAGAAAGTAGTTGTTATCTATACTTAGGGAGCAGCAATGGTTGTTGACCTTGGAAAAGTGGAACCCATGGTGTGCTTTGGGAATTTCTTATTTACTTTCTTTACCATTTCCTAAGTGCTTCCAAAGAACTTGGAAGAACAGTATATGACAGAGTTTAGGAATTAAAACACATATACGTGGAATACCCTGTTCTTTTCCTCACATATATCAGTAGCCATGCCAAGTAGAGAATTGTTTTGTTTGTGTATATTTGGACCAACCTAATGGTATTCACACCGGAGCATACACCTCTGGAATCTTGCAAAACTCAGAGGACCAAATGTGTTGCCTGGAGGTTGAACCCGGTTGTGTGTACAGCAACAGCTCACAAACAGTCCCTAGCTCCAAGCCTTACATCTCTCTGTCACAAGTAGAGAAATATTAGTCTCACATATTTTTTCATCATATTCTCTCTCAGATCCAGTCTGTGATGTATTTTATTCCTGCAGGAGTGATAAGAAATAGTGACTTCTCCTTGTTTGATAAGAAATGATTCAGTAAAACTCAGCCTTATCACATGTACCTGCTGTGTGTCTATGGAACATTGCAATTGTACCTTTTCATGTTACACACAGAGAGAGTAAGTCCTAAAAAGGAGTCGCAAATTATATAGGTATAAAGCAGCCAAAGTTGGGCTCAGGAGGTGAAAAACTGCATGTCTAAGAGCTGTCCAGCTGCAGATGCACCTGTTTATCCTTGCCAGGGGTGAGGTAGTGCTTGAGCAGGCAGCCGGATTCCAAAGATTTGTGCAGCATTGAATGTGAATTTGTTCCTAGCACTTACTGCTTCTGAATCTCAGTATCTAACTTGTGAGACATCAAGAATAATACTTTTTGTTGGACACCAAGAAATCTCTTTCTTTGTCTCTGAGGAAAAATGAACCTGACACTTGGTTATTTGTGAAATAGCTAAAATAAAAAATAATTAGCTATGATCCTTCAGCTATACAGTAGAACCCGTATCAATGTATAGAAGGTACCCTGGCAAACTCTCCTTGCTGGACTTCTAATGGACTTCCTGAGGGGAAGAAGTTCTTAATTGTTTTAGAATATGTCTACTTAGTATGTAAGAAACTAAAAAGCTAGTCTTGTTACTTGTCAGCTCCTTCTCACTTTTCCCTCATCTGTTAACCCCATTATTACAATAGGTATGGTCTAGCAGAGGGTTTTTTGTGTATGTCTGTTTGCAAAATTATACTTAACCCTTCAAAGTGAAGGATTTTTTTGGTCAATGTCCTTTTAAGGAAAATATTACTGATTCTGAAGAAGCATAAAAGTATTTAGAGTGATTGCTACAATATGGGTCTTCGAAGATGTTTTTAGAGTGTAGATAAGTGTGTTCATGTTTTAAGTTGATTAAAAAACTAAACTTACTTTATCTGTATTATACAATGAGAGATAAAAAGTCGTTGGAGTATTTCTGGGTCAGTGGAAAGAGCTGAATTAGTGAGGGTGACTGTTAGTAGGTTAACTGGTATGAAAGATGGTGGGGAATGACTGATAAGCTTCTCAAATCCCCATAAATTCACTCTGTTCCAGTCACAGGATGGTTTATTAAGAGGCTACTTGTTTCTTATAATGTAAGTTGTATCTCTCTGAGTAGGTCCTCTAAAACAGGGCAATCTTTTTGGTAGTGTTTTGAATTATGTACACATAAAGTTACACATAATTTTACTCTGTAAATTAATCTCACTAAGTATATCTTGTATATTATAAAACTATAGAATATTCATTTGGGAAGATTTCTTACTACAGATTTATTCCTTAGATTTATGGCATATATCTGAATAAAGAGACTGTTTTTTCTATTTAAAAATATCCATTTATAAAGGGAAGGAACTTATATAAATAGACATGCTTCTGTAAATACAGTTTGAAGTGATGAAAATATAGGAAGTATGCTTGTGTGCCTTTAGATGAAGACTTGGTCCCAAATGACATCTTAAGAAAGTTAGGGTAATTTTATAAGTGAGTGTTGTTTGATGTTTTGTGTTTCTCTGTTCGTGTTATGCTAAAGGAAAATTAGTTGTTTGATTTCAGAGATAGAACTATGGGGACATGTGACCACAGAGATTTAACTATTCCTGTCACTGTGAATTTATGTATTCTAGCAAGAAAGTAAATTAGGGCTTTTGTGTAATTTCTTACTGGATGATAAATATATAGATTTTTTTTATTTGATATTTTAGTGGGTACAGGACAAAAGCCACATTTTGTCTCCCTCTTGCTTTTTTCCTCTTTTGTAGGAAAAAAACTCTAGATTTTATGCATAAAATATAGGTACTTATAAATTTCTGCTCTGTGCAAGGTGAAATTGGGCTAAAACTACAATGACGTTACCTACCAAAATAAAAAGACACTAAACATACTTAAATCTCTTCTACCTCCTTGGTGGGATTATATCATGCAATTTTATGTGCAGAAACTTGAATTAATATTCTTAGTCACCTTTTGTCTTCTGTGCTCAAGTACTGTGCTTTACAGTCACTTAGTTCTTGGGAACAACTCAACCTTAGGTGTCGAGTGAAATTTGGTGAAATAAGGGATGCTGTACATGCTCTGTGCATATTGATTCTTCATCTTTAATAGGTTTGTATGTGTGCTCCAGCCCTCATGATAGCATGTATGTGTGGCTTATTTATCCTAATGAAAGAACCCTGCTGAAGAGGATGAAAAATCTGTTTGTTTCAACACTTTTGTTTTTTTTCTCTCAGGGTGTGCTGGAGAGCTTCTTGGGCACCGCTGTCTCTGGAGCTGTCTTTTGCCTCTTTGCCGGTCAACCACTCACTATCTTGAGCAGCACAGGACCTGTTCTAGTTTTTGAGAGGCTTCTATTTAATTTCAGCAAGTATGTATAACAAATCTAATTATAAATGAGTATTTCTTTTTTTTGTTTCATATATATATGTATATAAATTTTTTAATGCATCACCATGGGCTGGAACGATAGCACAGCGGGTAGGGCGTTTGCCTTGCACACGGCCAACTCGGGTTCAATTCCTCCACCCCTCTCGAAGAGCCCAGCAAGCTACAAGAGTATCTCACCTGCAAGGTAAAAGTCTGGCAAGCTGCCCGTGACATATTCCATATGCCAAAAAAGTAACAACAATTCTCACAATTTGTTGTGAGATGTTACTGGTGCCTGCTCGAGCAAATCTATGAACAATGGGAGGACAGTGCTACAGTGCTACAATGCATCACTATGAGATACAGTTACAGACTTACAAATTTCCATGATTATGTTTCAGTCATGCAGTTTCTAGTACCCATCCCTCCACCAGTGCCCATTCTCCACCACCAATGTTCCCAGTATCCCTCCCACCATCCTCACCCCTTCCCACCCCCCTCCCCCGCCTCTGTGGCAGGCATATTCCCTTTTACTTTCTCGCTCTCTTTTTGGATGTTATGGTTTGCAATACAGGTAGTAAGTGATCATCATGTTCAGTCTATAGTCTACTTTCAGCACACATCTCCCATCCTGAGCTAGCCCTCCAAGCATCATTCACTTAGTGGTCCCTTCTCTATCCCAGCTGCCTTTTACCCCAGTATGCGAGGCCGACTTCCAATCCGTGGAGCAGTCCTCCTGGCCCTTAGCTTTATTATCTTTATTATCCTTGGGTGTTAGTCTCCCATTCTGTTACTTTATATTCCACTAAATGAGCATTCACAGTGTATGCTTGAGGTTCCCAAAACTGATTTGGCCTACCGACCCCTTTTCGGAAAACAACAACCAGCAAGCATACTTACTCAGTAGCCTCTAGGAAACCTACCTTCTTCCATGGGTGGGGGGAGGGGACGGACATCATACACCAGTTGTTGTAATGGAAGCTATTATGGAACCCTTGGATCATTTTCTGCCACCTACTAGAATCCTTGGATTGTTCCAGCTGCCCCATTTATTGAGGCAGCAGTGTCCACGCTGGGAAATACTGCTGTAGAGAGAGCCCCACATGGTATTATGTGAAAGAGAACAGAAGAACTTTAGGAGCTGGAGGCTGAAAGATCTGGTACTCTTTATTTTATTTATTTATTTATTTATTTATTTATTTATTGTTTTGCTTTTTGGGTCACACTCAGTGGCGCATAGGGGTTATTCCTGGCTCTTCACTCAGGAATTATTCCTGGCAGTGCTCGGGGGACCATGTGGGATGCTGGGAATCGAACCCGGGTCAGTCGCATGCAAGGCAAATGCCCTACCTGCTGTGCTATCCTCCAGCCCCAGATATGATACTTTTTACATCTGATCCTAGAGAGGCACATTATGCCATATTACGAACTTGCTTCCCCACCATCCTTTGTCATTTAACCGCTGATGCATTGTGAACCTGACCCCTTGGATAGCAACACCCAGGACTTGTTCCGGCCCCTGTTGGGTTTGATTAGTGCGAACAGAGCATCATAAAACAGCAAGGGAGATACCTTGCGTCTTCTCAACCCCACCTTCGCCCTCTGTATCCACATGCCAGTGTAGCAGTGTCTTGCCTACTCACACTGTCTCTCCTCCATGATGGCTGAATAGCCCTCACGGGGCTCTGGAAATTTCTCTTCCTTCCTTGACCTTTAGAAGCCAGGAACTAGAAATAGCTTCTTGATATTGCTGGTGCCCAAGTCTCTCTGGAATATCTCTTAAGTCTTCCCATTCTTTATAAATCACACCTTCTGTAAATAGCTCATTGTTGTTTTCCTCGGAGTCACAGCTGAGAATGCCTTCTGTCTGCTTCCATGAATGACCCACTAGAAAAAAGGAAATGACTGGCTTACAATGATTTGACTCTTTTAATGAAAAAGACTGGATGCCCCTACTTTTCACTACTCCTAGCTCTAGTTTCAGTGTTCTTAACTAAAGATGAATATCGAGATTTAGAGTGTGAACCTCACACTAAGTGTTTCACTAAGTGTGTTACTCGCACTAAGCCATTTAATTCTTGTCAAATACCATAACCTGTTTATAGATAAGAAAGTGGATATGGTATCACCAGGTAAACTGCGGGTGACATCACCAGTTGTTGGGAGTGTTGGCTGCAACTTGAATTCCTGTTTTATATCTCCAGAGCTTAAGCCTCTTATAGGATCACTAGACTATTTATGGGTATGACCATTGTGCTATCAATATTTTCTTTTAGAAATTGACAGATTATTTTAAGAAAGAGAAAAATGAGTTAAGTGAATTAGCTGAGTAGCCACATAAGCACACAATTACAAAATCAAATTGGGTATCGCAGTCTCTTTCTTGTGAATCTGATGCTTCTAAATGAGAATCGCCATTACTGGCAGATGTCATCCTCGGACAGATTTCAGGATATCTAAGGATTTTCAGCACTTTTGTTTCTGTTACCATATTCTTATATCATTTTATATTTTGAGAATTTTAATATTAGAAATGCCATTACCTATATAAATATGCCTTTGAGGACTTCTATTGTAGCCTTTGAAACTGGCATGTCTTCCAAAATGACCATATGACAGAGGAAAAATGAGGATTTATAACTATTTTGAAAAAAAGACTGAGTTGAAAACTCAGCATGGTTTGGAGAATTTAACATTTCCAGTTTTAAGTGATGCTCTGGGCTTTGTGTAGAGAACCACTACAAATCCCTCCATCATCATTTACAGGACACTGGAAAGATTTTGGTTCATGTCAGTTTATAGAGAGAGTCAAACAGCTTTTTTATGTTTAAGAAAACATTGTGTGAAATAAGAAAGCCTTTGTGGAAAGATTAAACAAGCATGTACTATAAACAGGAACAAAGATTTATTGGATGCAATGTGATCAGAGCCTCAGTCTACAGGAAATGTTTGCATCCCCGTATGCTTTAGATATCTGTAGGATGGAGACTCTTTCCTTTCAGTAAGCAAATTCCTTTCTCACTTTCCCTTCTGTTTCATCATAATTGGTAGCGTAAACATATTTTCAAGTGATTTATTTGAAAAACAGTTGTAAAGCAACAAGAAACATTTGAGAAACCGTCCTTTAAACCCGTCACCGAGTAACATGTGGTGCTTATGTGACAAATTATTATTTTATTCACAATACTGTATTATTTGCTTATGTATTTTAACAGATTAGTAATATTTATCTAGATACCAACTACTTGCATAGATCACATTTTCCCAAAGTGTATTTCATTAATTACTAGTCCCATCAGATGTTCCATGAAATAAAAGCTTCCTTGATCTTAATTAGACTGGGAAGTGCTATATATTATATACCCTCCTTTTGGGCAACTCCCTTTAAACTTTAACTTACTTAAGAATCCGAGAAGTCCCTCAGCAAAGCAATGATTTTATTAAGAAAAATAAACTTTCAAACTCTAAGGCCAATTAATGTTTATCATAAGGGCTGGGGAAAGGTGGTAAATGCATTGGAACAAAGGAGACAGATGGTTTTTAAAGATAGAGTTGCACTTTAGTGGTGAATTTAATATCGGACACACAGACATCAATTTTTAATCGTGTGCATTTACATAATGTTACGACGCAATGCTGTTTCAGTAAGAGGAACTCTTATTTATGGTATTTATTTTTATTATTGGGCTGGAGCTATAGCACAGTGGTAAGGCGTTTGCCTTGCACGCAGCCAACATGACCGACCCGAGTTCGATTTCTCCGCCCCTCTTGGAGAGCCTGGCAAGCTACTGAGAGTATCTCACCCACACAGCAGAGCCTGGCAAGCTCCCCGTGATGTATTCCATATGCCAAACACAGTAACAACAAAGTCTCCAATGGAGACGTTACTGGGCCCGCTTGAGCAAATCGATGAACAGCGGGAGGACAGTGACAGTGATTTTTATTATTGTGGGCTGGAGCAATAGCACAGTGGATAGGGCATTTGCCTTGAACGAGGCCAACACGCCCGACTCGAGTTTGATTCCTCCACCCCTCTCGGAGAGCCCGGCAAGCTACCGAGAGTATCTCGCCCGCACAGCAGAGCCTGGCAAGCTCCCAATGAAGTACTCGATATGCCAGACACAGTAACAAGTCTCACAATGTTACTGGGCTCACTTGAGCAAATCGATGAACAACGGGAGGACAGTGACAGTGACAGGAAATAAATACCATAGTCTTAATGTTCATGGTTTTCATGCAGAGTTACCACACCTCATTACTACCCAAGCACCTAATACCCTCCACCAGTGTTCTATGTTATTTCTAGTCTGTCTCTTCATCCCCTAATTTCCTCCCCACTTTACTTGGCTTTCTCAGCTATGTAATCCAGGTCTAAGGGTTTGTTATCATTTGATGTTGTCTATCCAAAAATAGAAACTGTTTTACTAGGCCTTATCCAAATTTTCTCCAAGATATTATACCATTGTTTTGGGAATAGGTCCTTATTTTTCTGTCCCCCTTTTTATTGATTCACTGTGAGATACAGTTACAGAGCTTTCATATTTGAGCTTCAGTTATAACATCATCAAACACCCATCCCTTCATCCATTAAATTCCCCAGTATCCCGCTCCGCACCCCCCATTCCCCACCTACCCCTGCCTGTGTGGCAGACAATTGCACAATACTCTACTGTAGTTACCTTCAATATTTTGAGCCCAATCCCACCATCACTCATACCTGTCGAAAAGGCAATACTAGACAATGTGTTTTGAATTGCTTGTTATGGAAAGCATATAATGTTGCTCTAGGAATTCTAAAATTTTAATAATTAGGGTCTGGAGAATTCACTGCAGCAAATTGCTCAGGTCCGAGATTCATTTTTGTGTCTCTGGATCATGGCCATATGTGAGATTAAGTAGATGGTGGCTGTATGTGGGCATCATCTCAGAGTCCCGTTGGGGCAGGGTGAAGGAGAAGAGCTGACTCCTCCCCTGTCCCATGAGGCCTGGCGTTTGCAGCCA